AATATACAACAAATAAAAAAAGTGGACATTTGTGTATGACCTTATGTCTCCCAAACTATATGTCATATAATTATATCAGAGTTATAGTTGCGTATGCATTTCACTATTGAGTTTCTGGGGGATAAAATTGTTCCATAGTCTCTCTCAATGAACAATACAGTGCAATCTACCCTTAACTCTACTTAAACTTCATTAACAGGCTGGTCCCATATGGTTCGGCTCTCACCACTAAAATGCCTTTGTCTGTGGTACACTAGTATCTTAACTAATTGCCCCTTGCTTTTCTCTAACTCAGTACTATGTTAAGTTAGCCTCCTCTAGTGGATGTCGATGGTAAGTGATATCCCAAAATATTCTTTTCTCAACAAGTGTGAACATTTCCAGTCAGCCTGGAAATGTCTGGGCCTGGGCCTACCACACCCTGGCCTTTCTGAGTGCCTTCCCTACCACACTGCCCTAATTACTTTTGTCTCCCCTAACATGTGGTACCTATTAATGGCACAACAATGCACAGGTGTACTCTGCTAGTATATGGTATTACTCAGTGATTTGACCTGTATTTGCTGTTTATTGCTGTGTAGCAATATCGCCAAAAGCCCAAATGTTTAGTGCCCAGCAGTTTCTGAGCATAGGGAGTCTCAATGTTTGGCCCAAGACTAGAGGCCATTTAGATATGTATAACATCACTTGTGAAAGTGTGTGAACACAAAATTACTAATATAGGCAGATGGCCACAGGCAGCTGACAAGAAGCATAGGGGAAGCATGTCTGGTTTCATGAACCTTATATGCTCCCTACACATGGGACTGGTGGTTCTGCTTCATGGCGTCACAAGGCAGTCATCACCAAAGAATCAACTGGATCTCATGTGAGCTTAAGATCCACTGGCTAAAGATCTGTTTTCAAGTTCATGTAGTTGTTGAAAATGTGTTGTGAATGTGTCCGTGTGCTTGCTGGGCCTTGGTTGAGGTCACCCACGGCTCCATGCCTTACCGCCTTCCCAGCATGGCTGCTGCTTCCCCAAGGCCAGCAAGGGCCTGAGGCTTCCAGCACAGTGGGAGTCTGCATTGCATGCAGTACAGTCACACAAGATGCCCCTGGCCCCTTCTCAGAGGAAAAGTGTGAAAATCAGGACAGAGATTTAGAAAGCCAAATGTTAGCATCAGTCTACCCCAATCTCCTTTGATTTCCCCTTGACGATCTCCTGGAATGTATTTTCAGCTGAAAACTACAAGTCTCCTTATTCAACTCGCTGTCTATCTGATCTTCACATCTCAAGCAATGAAACAGTACCTAAGCTTTGGACTTTATGTTTATTGCTGCCAGCATCCCCTGTGTTAGGTACAGATGATGGTTGCAGCTTTGTTAGGTCTGGTTCATCTGCTCCGCGTGGCCACCGCCCTCTGTGGACAGGGCTTGGTGCACACTCACCCAACCAGCACTCCTCAGACCGGAGTCCTTTCCCTTGGTGGCTGCCTGCCTGGCCCTCGGGAAATGTGAATGTATTTTTGCTTTTTCACAGAGAAGCACAGTGAAGTGGAAGGGAAAGCAAATTGGGGCATTAGAGGCCTCACCTCTACTCTTAAAAAGGTGAAGCATGACTTTCGTTAAGTGAAGTCTTTCACACCTGCTTTTATTTGTCTGTCCATCCTCCAGAAGGACCTTTACAGTTTATATAGTTCATTCCACAGATATTTAAATATCTATCTACTTTATGCCACATCTTTTGATACACAAGGTTTGAAGAAAGTAAACAAAAGCAAACAATGAAAGCCCACTGAGTTCACTGAAACCAACAAGCATTTGTGCAATGTTTGTTCTCACAGAAATAAATGTAAAAATTGAGCTGTGACAGTTAGCGTGAAGAAGCCCCGGTGCACATAACTGCACGTTGTAGAGCTTCTCCCCTAGTGTGCGGGATCACGGGGGCTTGACCTGAGAAAGTGGCGTTTCAACTCCACGCTGAAAAATTAATTAGCAGCTAATTAGGTGGAGAGAGCCCAGATGTCCAGGCTCAAGAACTGTGTGTGTAAAGGCTCAGGGTGAAGAGAGTGCAGGACAGATTCAAGGCTCTGGAGATCATATGAACAGAGCATCCAGGGAAAAGAAAGAAGTAATTCTAAATGAGGGAAGAAGTCGGCAGACCCAAGCCAGGCAGTGCCACTGGGTCGGGGGGAGGGGATATAGGAACAATTAGAAGCCATGGACCCACTGGAGGATTTTATTCACAGTCATACTAGATAAAGTCTATTTTGGAAGAAAGCCACTCTGAAATGTTATTTTTAAAAGGACAAGAATGGAAGTGAGTAGACTGGTTGGGAGTTTACTGGGCTTAGAAGATTACTGAGGCTGCCAGGAGAAGGGGATGATGGATGATCAAGACTATATGTGAAGGTAACAATAAAAAATTATGACATCAGTATGGTTGGAGATGATGGCAGCTATATATTATCTTTAGATTTATATATGTAAACATATATAAATATATAATACATATAAATGCATTATATATATATATATATGCACACACACACATACCTAAAGAAAATAATTAAGAATGTTCTAGGAAATCCTATCTTGTTTTCATAGCCCTTGGCTCTGGCTTACCATCCTAACTGGTTCTAAAGTAGTCACAGGAAGTCCCCAACAATCTAGTTTTCACCATTGATTTTGGAGGACAAACCCACAAATCCTGCCCCTTCCCTGCCCTTCTCCTCTTCCAGAACAGCTTCCAAAAGATGCCCTCTTGGGGGGATCTATTTGATGATGTTTAATAGAGAATCTCCTCCCTCTTCCTGAATCACTATGGCTCCTGGATTGGCTCTTTCTACTTCCAAGATGTTTGCTATAGCACATAGTATGCTTTTTGACAATGTTTTTCTTCAGTCCTTTTTGAGTGACTTTATTTGTTTTGTACCTCATGACAGAAAGCAGAAACCATCTATAAGTTGCTATACATAGAAAGCAAAGTAAAAATAAAAGTAGTGAAATAATGTAAGCTTGGTGTACCCATCTACCCAGGATTCAGAGCTTGAAGCTTTGTTTTCTCCTTCCTGGTAAATTTTGTGAGCCAGCCATAATAGTTGATCATCACCTTGACACTATCCATGAATGAGGATAATGTCTATGTCTAGAAAGAAGTGTGGTTACCACTGGCATTGTAGAAACAAGGATGAGGTAACAATTACACTTTTACTTAAAGCAAGAGAACAGAGTTCAAGTTCTGGCTGGATTGTTTGTTTATGAAACTTTCTGAGAGTCTCTCTGTTTCTTATGCAATGCTCTGGCTGTGTTCAAATTGTGATTTTCATTGCACGTTTCTCCCTGTTAAGGAAGTGTTGTTGAACGCCTTTGTCCTTCATGCAAAATTCAGCCAGCCTAAAATCCAAAAGGAACAGAGCTGGAGAAGCTACATGGCCTCAAACTTGATTTCTGGAAAGAAAGTCACAAGTTATTGAAAATAAAGACAAAAGTGCCTTTTTGCAGAGACATTGTTATCATAATTGTGTTTGTCACAGACAATACTTTGTCCACTCTTCTGTCCCTCTTGTTTGCCTACTGACCCCTCCCCACCCAGCCCATCAGTTTTGTGATCTTATTTGTATACATCTACCTGTTAATGCTAATATTAATTGATGCTCATAAAATTTACCAATTATGAATTCAAAGAAGAATAGCACTCTCTTCCATGCTGACTAGGGGTTCCAGGGGAAACATCAATGCAGAATTTGGCCCTGACTCACTGGAGGGGAGGAGCAGGAAGCAGTGAGTTGAGCACTCACTCTGTGTCCCCCTTGACATCACACTTCTGCCCCACCATGCACAAAGAATAAGAAACCTGCGCTGTGTCCTTGCCTAGCGTATCTGCCCATCCCCAGAGGTAGAGTATGCCTCCCTTTATCCCATAAAGCCTGCCCTTGTTCCTTCCCCTTTCCCTTTCTCCAGTTTGATCGCTTGCCATTTTTAAGCCACTGGACTATCCATTGTTTGAATGACAGCATCTGACTTCCTTGACCAGGAAGCATCTGGAGAAAAAAATGGGTGCTATGCATTCTCCCACTTGGATCTGTCTTCCTGACCTGGCCCAGTTCTCTGTGGGTACTCTGAATAACATCTAATACTAACATAGCAGTTGCTATGTGGCAGGTACTGGTCTGCATGCAGATGAGGCACGCACTTTTATCACCCTCAGCAAGGTTCTTGCTTGCCCAAGGCTACATGGGTAGAAAGGAGGAGAACAAGGATGCACACCCAAGGATACATTTACAATCTGGTCTCTTAACCTTTTAACACTGCTATTCTGTCACTGGTCATTGAGTATAAGAGCAATAGGTTGGGACAGTAAAGACAATGTTCCCAGATTTATATCAGCTGGCATTGCCCTTGAAATCCTTTCAATGGATCAAACATTGTGGTGATATAAATGTAGATGGCAAAAGAAGGTGGAAGTAGGAATAGAAAAAGGTGAAACTGTGGGAAGAATGGCATTTGAGCAAAAAGAAATGATAAATAACCTAATTAAGAGTTTTAATGGTAATGAACTTAAGCGTTCTAAGCTATAGCTGTCACTAATTGGAAATAATGCCATGTTAAGAGGATGTAGGGGAAGAGATGGCAGTCTTAGGACTATAAATAATGACACGTGTTACTGGTGTGAAGGACAAAGCATCACGATTGGACTCAGATGTCCTTTGTTCATGTCCATGAAGAAGACATCCTACCTGCCACTTGATTACTACTTAGTTTATTTATTAAGTTTAGGCTTGATAATAAAAAAATAATAGGAGCTTTAACTTGTCACATTTGGCTGTGTTTGTTAGAACACAGAGATTCATCTTGGGTGGTTCTTTAGCTGGGATTTGTTTTCATTAAAATAAAAACTCTGGCACACGATAATGGAAAAAAAAAGAAATTCAGAGTTTCATAACATATCAGTGTATGTTTTCTACACTTGAGAATTTTGAGTGCTTTCGAAGTAATAAGTCTGTTTCCTTCTCTAGGTTCTTGGAACACCAAATGAAGATACGTGGCCTGGAGTTCATTCTTTACCACATTTTAAGCCAGGTATGCTTCATTAGTTACAATTGCTATGTGCTTCCTACATGCGAAGGTGAATATGTAAATATTCACTTTCAAGTAATAGCCTGCTTTGAAAAATTCTTCTTTTTCTCATGTATATTTATGTGCTGATGATATTGAACTTTTTGTCATGATTCTCTATCTGCAAAAAATAAAAACAATGGCATTCCCCTGGGGAGACTATTTTTACAGTATGAACTTTATTTGATTTGACTAAATCTCTTGCAGTAACTGTTAACTTACTTATCAGTGTGAACTGTCCACATCTATAACAGTGAAATTTAATTTGAAGCACTAAAACTCATCCATATCACTTCTTTTAATAATACTAGGATAGTATTAAATTGCCAAAAGGAACATCACATCTTGATTTCTTCCTATAAAACTCATAGTACATGACCAGTTTAAACATCTAAAATGTTCTTAATTTCCTATTAGACAGCCCTCATTGCATTTTAATGAAAAACATAGAAGCCCCTAAATTTGGGCAGCTCAGAGAAAACAAAAAACTTTAAATATATTCACACTTTCTTTCACCAGTAGATGGCAGTCACGAAACTTTCAGTTTTCATGATTACAGGAAAATCTCAACTGGACTGCTTAATTTTTATAGGAGGGAAGAAAGATTTGGAACTGGAAATGTCAGTAAATTCAATTATTATAAAATAATTCTGTTGTTGTTTTTCGTTCCTAAGTTACAAATCAATTAATAAAATGCAGATGCACCATAAAATTACTGAAAGTATTTTATGGAGAATCCAATAATCATTATGATTATTGAGCTATGGATGATATCTGTTAGGGGAGCTATGTATGCTATTTCTCTCCTCTTCTTCTCTGGTGGGGATAATCAGGAATAAATTATCCATTTCAAAGAATGACTGAGTTGGGAAACTATTTTTACTCCTCATTTTTCTTCTGAAAGTGTACTGTTTGCTGAAAATTCTTTTTTTCTCTCTTTAGCAGCCCCAAAGACTCTTTGTACTTTGTATTGAAAATTCTAAAAGACTTGTGTGTTCTGAAACACTCTTAGCAGCTTAACAATTTAAGATGGATTTTAAAAAAAAAAGAAGTATCCTCTAACAAATTTACTTGTTCCCAGTGGAGCCTTAAGTCAAGAACGCAGCTCTTTATAAATGTTACAGTGATGGGCTGTTAAAGGAGGTTAGCTTGCCATGGTAAATTATAAAATTTTTAGTTTTAGACATAAAACAGAAGAACTTGGAAGGTTGGGGTATAGCAGAGTGCTTGCCTGGCATACATGAGGCTCTGGGTTCCATCCCTAGCACAGGAGAACTTGAAAAAAATTTACATGAATAAGATTATAGGTGCAGAAAGGAGCAATTAAGGCAATCATTTGTTCCACCAAGTATCTGATTAGAAAACACTGAGTAATTTGATCTTCATTAACAACATACACAAACATTAATTAAATATGTTCTGGAAAGTGCTATGATGTGCAAATTAGCCAATAGATTATAGTTTCATGAGACCAGGAATGTACATAGCACATAATTGGTGTTCAAAAGATAGTTGTTGCTGGGTGCTGGTGGCACCTGTAATTACACCTGTAATTCTAACTACTCAGGAGGCTGAGATCTGAGGATCGTGGTTCAAAGCCAGCCCAGAGTGAAAAGTCCATGAGACTCTTATCTCCAATAAACTACTCAGAAAAAGCTGTAAGTGGCACTGTGGATAAAGTGGGTGAGCAATAGACTTTAGCACAAAGAGGCTCAAGGACAGCACCCTGGCCTTGAGTGTAAACCCCATGACTGGCAAAAAAAAAAAAAAAGGATAGTTGTTGCCCTGATTATATTTTTTTCTTTTTTTTTATTGTGAGAATACCGTACAGAGGAGTTACAATTACATTGGCAAGATAACCAGTACATTTCTTATCTAGCATTGTTGCCTCCTCATTGTTTCCCCTTCCCATCCCTCCCCCCCACCGATCCTCCCCCCACCCCCCACCAAAGTTAAGTTCATTTTTCGACATAACGACTTGTACATCTCATTGTTGCAATGGGTCCACCTGTATCCCTATTTAAATGATTTGTATTTTCCCTTCCCCTCCACAAATTATACCAACATCAAATACAGTGAAAGCAGGGGTTATACTATGGAGGAGGGACATACAAAATAACATAGAAATCATATTATAAATATGATAGAAACAACTGCATGAAAGGAAAAAAACAAAAAAACATTTGAATGCTTATCTTGGGGTTCATTCCTCTAACGTCAACTTATCTGACCTTTTCTGCTTGACTCAGACATATACTAGTTATTGCAAATAAGGGAAACCATGGAACCTATGTTTCTTTGGGCCTGGCTTACTTCACTTAATCTAATTTTTTCCAAGTCTTTCCATTTCCTAACAAATGGGGCAATGTCATTCTTTCTGATGGAGGCATAGAATTCCATTGTGTATATATACCACATTTTCTTGATCCATTCATCTACTGAGGGGCATCTGGGTTGGTTCCATATCTTAGCTATGGTAAATAATGCTGCAATAAACATAGTTGTGCTGGTAGCTTTAGTATGGTCTTGTTTGTGATCATTTGGGTAAATGCCCAAAAGTGGGATTGCTGGGTCATAGGGGAGCTCTATGTGGAGTCTTTTGAGGAACCTCCATACTGCTTTCCAAAGTGGTTTAAAGCACACATTTCTGTGACTGTGTGGCTTTGTGTCTAAGTGCTGTACCAGATACAGCACCCATGGTGGACAGAGGGAGGGGAACAACAGATGCTTGGATGGTGAGAGGCCCTGGTGCCCATGAACAGTTAAGATATGTAAGCGCAAAGTTTGTGCTTACAGATGAGAATCAGTGTGCTTAGGAATTCCTGAATTGCCTTGAGGAGGCCAAACAAGACAGTTCTATGTACTGAGGCAACAGAAGCATATCTTGGAGGACCTGGGCTTAGCCAAACCCACAGGGGAGTCCCACTATGGGACCTCCCAGACCTCAGGCCCCTGGGGGAGGAAAGCCCAACGGAAAGAGTTTCAGTGCAGAGCTTACTTGTCCCACCCCATCTCCCACTTCCTTATTCTGCCCCCCCCAAGAATGCCATAGAGGTGCTGAGAGGATGACCTTTGAAGACATACTAATAGTTTTTAATAGGTCACAAGCTAATTTGCAAAGGCAGACAGCGTGTAAAAGGGGCATAGCCCAAGCCTTCTCCCCCACTCCCATTCCCCACAACTGCTGCCTCCACCCAAGGCTCCACATGTATCCATTTCTTATGTTTCTTTTCTTGATGCAAATGTAAGCAGCTATTAGTATAGTTTTCTATGGTAAATACAATTTTGTGTTTCTTCCAGGTTCTCTGCATGGGGAGGGGAGGGCAATGTGATGTCTCTCTTGAAGGATTGAGAGGGACATCACATTAAGGGCCTGGATGGGGAGTGGAGGCAGGGTTCTGGAAAAGGGGGCAGATGTCCATGCAGTGATATCTCAGAATATTGTTTATTAAATAATTAATATTTCAATGACGAGGCAGTGAATGAGCTTAACCAACCTTTGCTTTATTTGTTCAGCTTAGCCCAGAGAAAACAAAGGAGTTGCAGGAAAATAGACAAAAAGGCACATTCCAAAGGATAGATGACAAACAAAATCAGGAAGCACTTAAGCAGCTTCAGTAAGGGATCCAAGAATTTCTTCACTAAGATAACTACATTCAGGGACTCGGTCATACAGAAAGAATTAATGCAAAAGGTCAATGCTCATAATCCTGTGTCTTTAGACATAGGATAAAATATTCATCCAGGGTTTTCCACTGGTGTCATTCATACTTCAAGCACACAGTCAGGTCTTCTGAATTGCCCACAGGATTCTAGTCTTCTCACAAACAACACAAATCTCTTTGCCAGATTTAGCTGATTTTTGGGTGTCACCCTAATTAGTGATATTAAAGCTCTTTCCACTGTTTTGTTATTATAAGTGTTAATACAGTTAACAATCATATGTAACATGCACACCTATTGCAGATGTGCATGTCCATCTGAAGAATAAATCAAAGGCTCAAGTATAAACAATTACGGTCTTTAATGCTTCTGTCAAATTGTTGTCCAAATAAATAGTATCTCTGGAATGCTTCTCCATAGCACCTTCTTTATGCCGTGTGTGGCTACAGTCAGTCAGTCAACAGCATGGGCATCTTCACTTGCAGTTTGGAGGCTCCTCCTTCTACTTTTCTTTCTTTCTTCTTTCTTTTGGTCAGTCATGGAGCTTGAGCGCAGGGCCTGGGTGCTGTCCCTCAGCTCTTTTTGCTCAAGGATAGCGCTCTACCAATCTGAGTCACAGCACTACTTCCTGCAGGCTCCTTTTTAACGTAGAGGCTGAGTATCTTTTCATGTGTTTCAGGGCCATTCACTTTTCCTTATCTACCCACTGTTTATATCTTTTGGCAAAGTTACAATTGGGAATTATGCATTGTTTTCTGAGCAGTTTTAGAGTTCTTTATATTTTAGGGAAATTTTCCCCTTACTCCTGAAAAACTTTTGCTTCTCTAGAATTAAACTTACCGTTTCTAGTTTTGAAGCAACATTGAACAAAATCTTCACTTGTGTCTTCCTTGTCTTGCCTAGCTGAATACTGCCTAGCTGCATACATTTTACCTTCAGAAAAATCTCAAGGTGTTTTTAGGGTAAGGCAGGCATACTATTTAAAGACCAGTTCCTGTTAAGGGTACACATACCATTCATTACTCTATATCTATGTCAAAGAAACTAGTTTGGGTTTTCAAACAGTTTACTTTGTGGTGATATTCTAAGTTATAGTAAATCTAGATGGCTTTGAAGATATTCTAACATCATTGTATATCAGTTTTTTAAAGTTACTTTTTTATCATTAATTCTGTAGAATAAATAAAATTCATTGTTTCAACAATATTTACTGAGTATCAGCTGTATGTCTAGGATGTTACACTGAACAAAACACTGAATACCTCAATCAGGAGATTCACACAGAAAGTAAACTGTATAGT